TCATATTATCATTTTCCGAAAACTCTCTCATCAACTTGCAATACATGCATGTATCTTGATTTAAACAAAGGCTTGACAAACCTCCACCACCCAAACAAATGGGAAAAACAATATTATAGTGCCAAACCCTTCCACTTGCAGCCAAATATCTTTCCAAGTTAGTTTTCTTGCACATTAATCCTCCAAATGTCATATTTTACCCAAATTGCCCAAATAAGTAAAAATGGGTATATTTTGAGTGCAAACAATTCCGCCAAAACATTTCATCTGCTTTGTTTTCACGACCCTTCCTTTTAACTGAATATACAAATGCCATACACTCCCTAAATTCTTCTTGTCTTTGTATGGATCACCATCGCCGGCGTGGCTGATTGATTTGCCGTCAAATGATTGAAACCTACAAGTTTAATGTCTGGACATGCGGCACAGGCTCAGCCTTGGCAAAGTTATGCAAATAGGATTCTCCGTTGTCATCTTCATCTTTATCCAAGCAAGCTGATAAATAGCTCAAGATGAAGCCCTCTACATCTTCCTCAATGACAGAATCAGGATCTAAGACTTCATAGTTTGCCCGAAGATCTTTCACCATCCGGTATGGCGGCATTAAAAGTAGCAATGGAAGTTACGTGACTTGGGTTTTCGATGGAATTGGGGATAGTGTTCTGCTAGTTCTAGAGGATAAAGCATACCTGGAGCACATAACTGCGTATCTGGCTTCCCCAGGTCATATCGGTAAGAGATTGTGAATACTGCGCATTCATCTTATTCTGGCACGCCATCTCAAGCTGGTCTACTCGTGACTGAATAACAGCCATTGCTGAAGCCTTATTCTGATGTTGTGATATGTACATTGAAGAAAAAGGAAACTCCGTGATTAGGATGAAAGTTGGCAATTCTTAGTTCCAAATATAAAAAACGAAAATGTGTTTTAACACCTCTCATTTTGACAAGTAGCAGTAATTCCTGTAGGAATGTGAACAATCCTCACAGCACTATCGGTTGTATTTGCGTGCTGGCCTCCAGCTCCCCCAGAACGAAATCGCTCAATGCGCAGATCAGATTCATTAATTTGTACATGCTCAGATGCATCTCCCAGGATTGGAGTCACAGCAACAGCAGCAAATGAAGTGTGCCTACGCTTATTACTGTCAAAAGGTGAGATCCATACCAACCTGTGCACTCCTACTTCTGCTTTGGCATATCCAAAAGCATATTCACCGTCAACTTTGATTGTTGCCCACGGCAAGAACAGATTGATCTGAAGTCAGAACATTAGCATACTCTTCAGTTTAAAGGCTTTACTGCAATATAATTGGGGTGGGACAGTGGATTTGCACATGCTTGGGATAAGCTGATTTCTTTTTCCTTACCATGCAAATAATTGCTACAGATGTTTCATAGATCCATTCGCAAATACAAGGGATCAGTGGATAAGAAGATGAACCTTGATTCCCACAATCTCACCCGGCATTTCATCCACCACAGTCATGTCATATCTGCATCGTTGAGCCCACATTTTATAAATCTGCATTACCATAGCTGCCCAGTCATTACTCTCTGTACCCCCATCTCCTGCTTGAACCTATATGGCACAATAGTATCTAAGGTCTGGTTGGTATAGATTAATCGCAACTAGTGTCTTTCACCATTACAACATCTATATAATAAGTACAAAATACCAAAAACTAGACACCGCCAATACATGTTTCATAGAATATAGGAAATATTGATGCAGAAAACATGATTCATATATCAAACAGACCTCAATGTAACACGATGCAATGATCCTGCTCCCCAGCTAACAAAGCTTCAATCTCATTCTCCTTTGAAGTTCTTCTCATATTAAGCAAAGCGTTCATGGATTCCTGCATATGAGAATCCGTATAACTAACTAAAAAGCACAAAGCATGTTGCTCTCAACTCTCAAGTACCTTATAACTTAAAAGAAAGGATTTAACTTTATGGTAAGGATTCAAATATGACCAGTTCAATTGATCCTTCTTTACATCAACGTAGATCGTATAGTGTTACTGCATTGATTCTATTAACAATGTTATATGTCCGTTACTTTTTTTCCTATTCACTGAAAAACAGATACCAGCATGGACTTTTCACTATTTGGCATACATCATAATTTGAATATACGATAACCAGTGAATAAAACATCATATTGGTAATAATTATTCACGAAGGCACAAACCATGAAATAACATGCCTATGAGAAGAACTGAAAGCCCACCGATTCTAGCTCTGCGTCATTCTCTTCACGGGCAAGCTTTACCACGTCTATATGCTCGAGCAATTCTCGCTCAAATGCCTGCACTTCTTGCATTTTACCCAGAACCATGTTGACGGCTTATCTTCCCTGCATGTACAGTATCATTCCTCAGGTCTGGCTTATTCACCTCTGCTGATAACATTTCCAACCTAACCAGCAACTTCTTCCACTGCCGCCATAATCATAAGACGTACTTCAAAACTATGCCGAAATATTCGAATACAAACAGAGTATCAACCAAACCAAATGATTGAATCCTCAACATAAGAAACCAAGTTATGCTTCTAAATTAAACTCATACGGCCTTGTTTGGTGTCTAGGATTGGATTGGATTGGATTATATAAGTCACTAGATTCAACTTGTGTTTATGAGAAAATGGACGGATTAGTCACGAAGGAAACTTCTCTCATCCAATCCCCACATTTTCAACATACATTGAATATAATGACTTATTCGATCCGATCTAATCCTAACCACCAGACGATGATAAATTGCATAGGAACACAACGGAATGATCTCATTTTAAATTGTACCTGCAATCGTTTCTTAATAAGATGAGTGGACAGTGCAATTGCAGCAGCGTGACTCTTCCAATCACTCTCGTTCTCATCCAGAATTGGCGACTCACTAGCAACGATTCTATCAATCGTCAGCCCATCACAGGTCGACGGCTCCACCGCAGCCTGAGTACCAAACAAGCAAACCAACTCGAAACTGCCACGACTCGAATACAAACTTCTCACCATTGGCAGCCCCAATACACCAGACCCAGTTACATTTTTCCCTGAAGCAACATACCCAGAGCTTAAAGCAAGAGGGTTGGAGCCCGAAATAAAGATACTACTCGGAAATGGGTGATTTTGAAGAGACCCAAAAGGGGATTTTGAGGTATTGGGAGGAAATGGAGAAACCCAAGAATCCAAAATCCTTTTTTTCGATTGGATTAGGTAAATATTGAGGGTTTGAGGGTCGATTTAGATTTCTTAGTTGGGATTCAGACAGAGTAGAGAAAAGCAGAAATGGAAAAAAACGGCTTTTGGCTTCTGGGTTTGGGCAGAGAAGCTGCCAGGATCCACCTGTTCGTCTAGAAGAATATCCAATGAGGATGTTTCCTGACCAACGAGTACACAGCTTCTCGAGAGATTGGCGTCGTTAATGTTGTTTATCAGGCTTCTGCTTATTGGCGGGCTATAAGAGAAGAACATAGTTAATTCTGAAATGTGCATTGTGGGGCCTTAGGGGTAGATCTTGAGGCTCACAATCAAAATTAACTTTAAATACCCAGGCGTGCCACTGCTATCTTTAGCATGACAGATGTAAAACCGATGTTAAGTTTTATTGTATATATATATATATGCCCGAGAGACCCAGTTAGTTATGAAAGGTGCCTTTGTGGGGCCTTAGGTGTAGGTTTTGAGGCTTCCCGTCAAAACTAACCGAATACTTGAACACATCTTGGTTGTTTCATTGTTGCAGAAGTATCACCCCCGTTATACTTTAATTGCCCGAGCCAGCAGAGCAGAATGAATTCAAATAGGTGCCTTTGTCAGGCCTTATGTATAGGTCTTGAGGCTTTATATACGAATTAATTCTATACTCAAGTGTTCTATGGGAATTATGATATAACAAAAGTAAAACTAGAGAATAAGCCAATTACTTGCACCCCAAGTAACTTCGGACTTCTTGTTATCAAGGATTGTCGTGGATGGGTTAAGTCCACATAAGGTTCTTTTTATGCCTTAAGACCAATGACTTTTAATTGATCAATCTTGTCTGCCCGAATGGTTAGAACTTAGAAGTCTTTTAATCATAAACTGGCTAGCAATAACTTGGATGCAGATGGAAGCATACATCATATTACTAGATATATGAATGAAAGACAAAAACAAAGGAGGCAGGGCAAGGTTTCACCTTGTCGGGCAAGGCTGATCGTCTTGCAACTTCCTCGCTTTGTAATTTACAAAGTGTTCGAATGCTAGAAGGGAAGATTGGAAGATGAGTTTATATGAGGGGATCGATACTACAACAAGATTTAAACAGGGTAGCAGAGCTTTTACAAAGGATTTCTAGTGAAGGTTGATCCCGAAAGGGATGAAGACTAGGGGCTGACTACAGCTTTGTGAAGGCAAATCTGGTTTGAGCAGAGTTTGTGCTTGTATTTGTTTGTTTGATTAAGTGTCATTGTCTCTGATTTTTCTTCCTCATTTTATAGACGATTTGGCTTGGCTGCCTGCAGTGTTGATTTTGACCGAATGCATCTGAAGGGCAGTGACTCATCAACTTTTTACTTGTACTGCCATTATAAAGTATTTTTGGGCTGATTAGCTGACTGGTCTACACTACTTGACCTCTAGGTAGGTGAGCAGCTGGTTTGAATGATCTGCACTTGATCGGGACCCTTCTTTCTTCTGGGCTTCAGCTGGGCCTTAGACTTTTCCTTCTTCTGAATCTCCTTTTGAGCTTTCTTTTGGGCTAACCTCTTTTTAACCCAAAGTTCAAGTTTTATCCCAAACACCACCACTACTTGCTCTCATTCTGAGCATGAAAGATGACATTTTTATGATGTTTTGAGTTTATTGGGGTTTTACAGAAACTCCAACTGAGGGTTTTAAAAATACAGGAGCTGCTCGAGCGACCTGGAAGTTGAAACGATGACGTTTTGAAATACAGTTGCCTTTTTTCCCCAAAGCCTTCGTCTTTCTCAGCCGTTGCTTAGTCACCATGTCAGCCCAAGCCGACGCCGTAAATCCCAGTTCCCAAAATACCCTCCAAACCCCACAAAATTACCTTGTGCCCCTCTCCCCGCCTCTTCCCGCCATCTCTAAGCACGTAGAGCTGGCGAGAGCCATGTCCGCCTCTTCTAAATCCAGCCCAATTTCCCTCTCGAGGAACAACGTCGTTTACGAGAACCAATGGGTCGTTGTGGTGAACAAGCCCCAAGGAATTTACGTGAGTCCGTGTTGGAATCGGTCCCTCAGCTTCTCTGTGACTCGGCCGAGTTAGGTGAGTCAGGTTAACTCTTCTATTCTTTTTCTGCTCTGCCTGTTGTTTCCAAGATGAAACCTAGAGAAGTGTTTTTCTCGTTAGGCTGGCTTATTTGAAAAGTGTTTCTCAGTACAATGAGCAATATGATCTTCAATCCTAAATAGTTTGAGATTCATGTAACCAGTGGAAATTAGCTGGGATCAGGGTTTAGTTTTGTTGTAGATTCTCCAAGCCAATTGGCAACAACTTCTGCTTATTCGAAAAGCCACAATCAAATTTAGGAAACGCTTTCGAAGTTCATTGGATATGGGAGATACTGACTACTTGCAATGGGCGGGAAATTTTGAGTTTTGATTCCTATCACATAGTGAGTCGGAAAAGTGCTTCTTTGGAAAAGTTGATTTTTGTAACTCTTTCTTGAACACTGATCTGAGTTCAACTTATCAGTTGCAGGGACCCAAACTCAGCCAGAGCTCCATCTTGCAAACCGACTCGATTGCGACACTAGTTGACTGATGATAATAACCAAGTCACACAAAGTAGCTACCAAGCTCGTGAACGTTGGAAAATATTAGTATTTTGGTTTATTTGAATGTTTGGTTTTATGGGCTTAGCTCGTTAGAATTATGTTTTGTTAGAGATTAGGGTTATTTTATTATAAATAGCCTGCTTGTTATTCATTTTAGTATAAGTCATTCACAATGTAGTATCTTAGGGTTTTGTAGCCATTTTGGCATTCTCGTTCTTTTAATAATATTCTTATTATTTTGTTAGTCTTGTTCGTTGCGTACTCTGATATTCAACTTGGCATTAGAGCAGGTTTGATCATTCAAGATTTGATCTGCTTCGGGTTGGTATCTGTTTACTTGTTTCCGTTGTCGTTCATGTTCAGATTGTTAGTTGGTATTGGCATCAGCATTGGCATTGGCATCGGCATCGATATTGGCATCAGCATCAGCATCGGCATTGGAATTTGGAGGCTTGCATCCACATTTGCTTGTTGGCAAACTCATGTCATGTACCGCCATGAGTTTGACAGAGGGTGTTGGAAAATATTAGTATTTTGGTTTATTTGAATGTTTGGTTTTATGGGCTTAACTCGTTAGAATTATGTTTTGTTAGAAATTAGGGTTAGTTTATTATAAATAGGGTACTTTGTTATTCATTAGAGTAAGTCATTCACAATGTAGTCTCTTAGGGTTTTGTAGCCGTTTTAGCATTCTCGTTTGTTTAATAATATTCTTATTATTTTGTTAGTCTTGTTCGTTGCGATTCAACTTGGTATAGCATTTACAGATCACAAAGTTTCCAAAACCTACGTTGCACGCTACATTGGTTTAGCTCCAAAATGGGAAACAATCACCCTTAAATCAGGTCATGGTCGATCAAAGTTTGGGGTGTGGCGAGCGTATGCCGCTTCAGATGTAGGCTGGACACTTCCTGTTGTGCTAGGATAGCACCAAACTTTATGGAACCAACTTTTGATAACCCACAGGAAATATATCAAATGTAATGCAAGAACAAAATATTAAAGACACCAAGATTTTAACGAGGTTCCTCAACAGTCAGTGTAACTGGAGTATGTCCTCGGAGCAGTAGGAGCTCACCCAATAATCCACTATCAACCAAATGGGAGTTTACAAAGTGTTGGCAAGCTTACAACCCAAAACCCCAATACAACCAATAGCTCTCACACACCAAAGAAACAAATAGAGAGAAATATAATGAATAATTTCTTCTCTATACGAAGCTTAAAGCTAATACACAAATACAACTTTGATTGAGTGAGAACTAACCAAGAAAGAAAATCACCTTTCTTTCTTATATGGGAGCTGCGTACCTCTCTTCTTGTTTCTGCTGCTCCCTCCTATTTTCTTCTTCTGCGGCTGTTTTCTTCTCAAAACAACAAAAGCAGCAATTGCTGCTAAATAATTCCTTAAGTCACCCCGTGACTTCCCACATGGACCAAAGAAAAAACTTTAGACAAAGTGCACTTTTCTTTTCCCTAAAACAAGGAAGAAACATATTCATGTTGTCCTTTTTTTTTTCTTTTTATTTGTTTAATAGCCAAAAGGTAATGGCCACTTGGCCACCATTCAACAATCTCCACCTTGGCCAAGTTCCGAAAACGCCATGATAAGCCAACTAACACAATTGATCCAAAAAATCACTCCCAAACACTAGCAAGAGAACAACTCATGCCGAGCCAAATGCTCCAAAACTCCTACTGCTCAACGCCTTCTTTATATAGGCAAAATGTGAGCCAAGTTCAAGCAATGAACAAACTTGGCTACACCAACAAAATGCTTAATACCTCACTCTTGTGCTTCATAGTATAGACCCAAGACCTTCTTGAATAATCATCAACAAAGGTCACGAACCAATGTCTACCACTCAAAGAGGGAGTCTTTGTAGGACCCCAAACATCCGAATGCACATAATCAAGAATGCCATTCGTTTGATGTACAGCAGTACCAAACTTCACTCTAGTTTGCTTCCCTAAGACACAATGCTCGCAGAAATCAAGCTTATAAGTCGTGGCACCGTTTAGAAGACCTTGTTTCACAAGCCCTTGTAGAGCTTTCTCACCGGCGTGGCCTAATCTCATATGTCATAGTCTAGTAGTATCTGAATCATATGTGCCCATATTTTCAGAAACTACAGATGCTTCACCTGTCACAGTGCTTCCCTGCAATAAATACAAATGGCCACATCGAGGAGCTTTCATCACAACAAGTGCACCATAAGTAACTTTCAATGTCTGCTCATCTGAATGAAACCTGAAACCCTTGGATTCTAAAGTGCCCAAAGAAATAAGATTTTTCTTCAAATTCGGTACATACCGAACACATGTCAACTCTTTAACCATACCATCATGCAACTTCAAACGAACTGTACCAATCCCTTTTGTTGTGCAACGATTGTCATCTCCCATGAACACAACGCCACCATCAAACTCTTTCAAGCTTGAAAACCAATCCTTGTGAGGAGTCATATGATGAGTACAACCCGTATCCAACACCCACTTAGTGGCACAATCAAATGATGAAGAAGTGGTTAAAGCAAAATCAGAAAAATCTGTTTCAACTTCAGCAACATTAGCTTCAGAACTTTCTTTGCCTTTGATCTTCAATTTAGGACAATCTTTCTTCCAATGGCCCTTATTACGACAAAAGGCACATTCATCCATTTCCAAAGGTTTTCTACCTTTAGAGTTTCCTCTAGGTCGAGACTGTGATTTTTTCTTACTAGAAGATGATCTTCTCTCCGATGATCTACCTCTAACAAATAAAGCTTCAGAGTTACTATCATGATTTTTATCTCTATGCCTCATTTCATAATTCATCAAGGCATTTGACACATCTTCAAATTTCACAGTTTCTTTACCATGCATAATAGTGGTAACAAAATGCTCATAAGAGTCCGGCAAGGAATTCAACAATATTAAGGCCTTATCTTCATCCTTAATATCCTCATCTAAATTTAACAAGTCGGCAATCAACTTATTAAAAGCATCAAGGTGTCTAATCATTTTTGTACCTTCTTTGTATTGAAAACGGTAGAGCTTTTTCTTCAAGTGTAGCCTGTTCTCTGCACTCTTCGTCATATACTTGTCTTCCAATTTTTGTCACAACACACTTGCTACCGTCTCCCGCATCACAAAATACTTCTGAGTTTTTGCAAGGCACAACCGAATTGAAGAGCAAGCCCACAAATTTAATTTCTCCCATTCCGGCTTCGACATAGCTTCTGGCTTCTCTCCCAAAGCGGCAAGTAGATCTTGTTGAGCTAACACATCTTTGACCTCACATTGCCACATCCCGAAGTTGTTTGTGCCATCAAACTTTTCCACTTCGAACTTTGCATTTTGCACCGTAGTTCTTGCAAACTCGGAGCTGCTTCCAAAAGGATTTTTATCTTGCCCGTCTGACATCTTTGGCAACTAGACAGTACCCAAGAGCAACCAGTGCTCTGATACCAATTCTTGTGCTAGGATAGCACCAAACCTTATGGAACCAACTCTTGATGACCCACAGGAAATATATCAAATGAAATGCAAGAACAAAATATTAAAGACACCAAGATTTTAACGAGGTTCCTCAACAGTCAGTGTAACTGGAGTACGTCCTCGGAGCAGAAGGAGCTCACCCAATAATCCACTATCAACCAAATGAGAGTTTACAAAGTGTTGGCAAGCTCACAACCCAAAACCCCAATACAACCAATAGCTCTCACATACCAAAGAAACAAATAGAGAGAAATATAATGAATAATTTCTTCTCTATACGAAGCTCAAAGCTAATACATAAATACAACTTTGATTGAGTGAGAACTAACCAAGAAAGAAAATCACCTTTCTTTCTTATATGGAAGCTGCGTACCTCTCTTCTTCTTTCTGCTGCTCCCTCCTATTTTCTTCTTCTGCGGCTGTTTTCTTCTCATAACAACAAAAGCAGCAATTGCTGCTAAATAATTCCTTAAGTCACCCCGTGACTTCCCACATGGACCAAAGAAAAAACTTTAGACAAAGTGCACTTTTCTTTTCCCCAAAACAAGGAAGAAACATAATCATGTTGTCCCTTTTTTTTCTTTTTATTTGTTTAATAGCCAAAAAGTAATGGCCACTTGGCCACCATTCAACACTTCCAGGAGGATCAATGGTCCGAGACATGGAAACATTGTTTGAAATTTTATCGGTAAATGGACAAGGGAGCTACAAAGAGCCATCTGAGTTTAAGAAAGATGAAGCAAATGTTGTAGTGGTTGAAGAGAAAGCTGTAGTAGATGGAGACGCAAAGAAGGACGAGGTTTTAGGAAGAGCCCGTCCTAGGAATGGACGAACACATCAAATCCACTTGCATTGTCAATATCTTGGAATTTCCATAAGAGGTGATGTCAAGTATGAGGGTGTGTATGAGTGGAAAGAAGCAACTTATGACGGCCATGAACTTCATGCGGAGAGCTTGTCTCTTGAACACCCTGTTACTGGTCTTCCAGTGATGTTTCGGAAACCTGTACCCTCTTGGGCCAGCCAGGCTTTGCAACACTAGTTTAGTTCAATGGTTCTCTGTGCTCATTGTCTGGGTATAAGAAGATCGATCCTTTCCTGCTTCGACACGGTTACTTGCTATTCTCTGCGGAAAATGGTTTTAGGTTTGATGCCGAAGGCAAGTGTGCCGAGGTCTGCAGCGTTCTCCTTACCTAGCCGTTAGCTCCTTTTTCCGATCATACGTGGAGAATGGATTTGGGTTTCAAATGTCATGAACTCTTGTAAGTAACAATTTACAAGGAAAACCTGTTGTGCCATGTTTTCTTCTCAAATTTTGCTCATATGATTTAATTTTGCACTTTTCGGCTTCTGTATATGTTGTTAAACTTCTCTCATCACTTGGATATTTGGTATGACATTGCCATTTTCACTCTTAGTGTAAGCTCTGAAGTTCCTTTTTTTGTACGTGTTAATAGGGGAAAACAAACCCTCTGACGTCTCTTAATCCTAACTCATTATTTCGTCCTCTCTAGTCACTTGGGCCAACTCCAAAAGACTTTTCCAATGCACATTGACGTCCCTAAGCTCCCTCATTACAAAGAATAACTCCTATGCGACAGAGTTACCGTGTTACAGTAGCATTGCATTGTAAGTTTCACTCCTCGTGACATTAGAGTGAAAAACAAATGTTTGCCTTGGCCTATCCGATAAGCTCTGATGTCGTTTTTATTTGGAAACAAACTTCAAATTTAACTTTGGAAATACCATTTTCCAAGAAGTTTACAATCTTTTTTCTTTATCCTATTTTATTGAATCTTGTAGCTGAAAAATTAATCATTTTTACATGACTGTTTCCACCCAACAGGATCCTCTTCGGATCCTTTCGATAAAGATCTTGAGAATTCGTGAATCGTGTATGTTCATTGTACATTGTGCGGTCAGTTTTTGTCAAGTATTATTTATGTTTAAATTTAAATAAAAATATTTAAAATAATTTCTAACTGCACGATATACGATGAACAGACAAGATTGACGAATTCTTGAGATCCTCACAAAAGGATCCGGGTTCTATTTCCACATCGTTATCAATATTCTACTAAACAGAGGGCGCTAATTTAACTTCTAATTGAAAGGGATCAAATGCGTGGCAGACTGATATTGGTTACAAATATTGCATTCAATTTTGTTTTAATAATTTGTAAAGGCAAGGACTTTCAAGGCGCGTTGGTTTTTTAGAATACAATCAAGAATTCTATTCTCCCCACTAAGCATATAATATTGAGATTATTCTCCTCTTAAATTATTGACATTTTGCAGACGTCATAAAGCTTCCATAAAAAAGTGGGAAAGAATCCTTCTTCCTGTAGAAAATTGTTGTGATTTTTCATAACCTAAATGCTACATTGTGACTAACTTAATATTCTACGAGCTACAAACTATCATATATATAGAGAACTAATCTAGCCATAATAAGCAAGAAAACGAAATCTTAATACTAACGGGCTAAGCCCAAATTCAAACAATAAAATAAACCTAAATTCCAACACCCCCCGGGTCAAACTCATGGCGGTACACGTCATGAGTTTGCTAACAAGCAGATGCGGATGCGTTAAGTGGACAAGACAAGACAAGACAAGCTCCATTAGGCGGACACGATAAGACAAACTCTGTTAGGCGGACACGACAATGCAAGCGGGCAATCAAGCGAGCAAACGATTAATCCAAGCGAGCAAGCAAGCTAGCGGATTCCGGCAAACAATCCAATTACTAACCAAGTGTACAACATCACTCGAGTGGTCATAAATTCAAGTACTCGAGCAGTCGTTGTGGAGAGCAACAAGTTCCAAACACAAACATAATAACAACAACACGTTTGCCCCAACAAAAAGCAACAAATACTGCCAACCAACTCTTTTCCACTAGCAACTTTTCACGGGTCAACAAACTATTTTTTTTCCTTTGCTTTCTTCCTTCTCTTTGCGAACAAAGTGTGGTAACAGATGGTGGGTGCAGCGGTGGCTGGGTAAGGTAAGCAAGTTCATCTCTAGGTGCGGTTATGGGATGACATCAGGTTACAAGTTCGGGCAGCAATGGTTCCAGGTGGGTTCAACGGATTCTGGGTAGCAATGAGTTTCGATCTGGGTTTCAAAAGGTTGTCGGGCAGCAGTGGTGCGAATCGATTCAGATGGTACAGGCTGCAGCAACAAGTGCGACGGTCGATTCGTGCAGGTGTCTCTGGTGGCAAGATGAGGACATGATGCAGTAAACAGATTCAATTTTTTTTCTCTTCCCTTTTTGTAAGCAACAAAACCCTAACTAGGGCACAACGACAAACCATAACGAAAAAGAGGAACGTGACAAGACAAACAAACTAGCTACCAAGAATAGATTCAACCCTGAAGGATATTATTAAACAAATGAGAATGCCGGAACGACTACAAAACCCTAAAGGTTACATTATGACTAACTTGATATTCTACGAGCTACAAAGTATCATATATATATATAGAACTAACATAACCCTAATAAGCAAGAAAACGAAACCCTAATACTAACGGACTAAGCCCAAATTCAAACAATAAAATAAACCTAAATTCCAACAAATTTAAATGCAAATAAAATAAAAAAATTGAAAACAAAATTGGTAACTAACATTTGAAAACAAAATTGGTTTCAATTAGTCCTTCACCTCAAAGATTTTTCTGCCTCCTTAGAGAAAATATTCGGCAAAGCTATCTGATTTTTTACACCGAACGATACCACATGGATTACATTCACGAATTCAAAATACAAGAGATTCTATGCTTTTGTTAGACGCGCTCTACATGAACGAAAAATTTTGTGAATTACTTAGTAATTATTGAGTTTGTGTTTATCCACGGGGGCTGGTGCTGATTTGGCCAACTCATCAATGAGAAATAAATGTTGTCCCTAGCCTTGGAGAATAAGACATCTCTGACAAAACATATACCAATTAATCAAAACAACCAGTTATACTCAATCCAAGGTGCATGCAAGAATGTTCCCCCAGTTCCCACCTGCCTTTCAAACCAGCAAGCTTCATAGGTTTTCAGATTCCAACGTCCGTGCAGTGCAACGAAAATTCTAGAGTACACCATATATTTGTAAAATTTAAACGGTTTAGATGTGCGCTTGAGAATTCGAAGAAATTTAACAAGCGGACGTGATACAATTAAAAAGCATCGTATATAGTACATTGTTGTATAGTAGAAAGACTCGATCCAAACCCAATAAAATATAATCTGGGTTTGGATAACGCAGTTGTAATATATATAATTTTAAGATTTTAAGAGGTCGCAGTTCAAAACCCACCAAGCATTTTCTTCTTTTCTTTGCTATATAAATATCTTAGATATACCCAGAGAATTATTGAAGGAACCAACTGTTGTGTGTGAAGTTTTTGGAAGATGGGTTTGCTGAGTGAGGGACTGACTCAGGTGGTGATTCCTTTGGCTGCGGTTGTGGGGCTTGGTTTTGCTTTGCTGCAGTGGTTTTTGGTGTCAAAGGTGAAGGTCTCTGGCGGGCATGGTGAGCGAAATGGGTTCAAGGACAAGCTCATTGGAGATGAAGAAGAGGGTGTTAGCTCCGTTGAGGTTACCATCAAGTGTGCTGAGATTCAACATGCCATTTCCATAGGTAATCTCTCTCTCTCTCTCTCTTTCTCTCTCTCTCTCTCTCTCTCTAAATTTACTCGTTTCCCATTTCATACCTCTACAAGCTGCATCCTAACATGTCAACTAGGCTTTTTTTTTTAATCAATCATGTTGTTGTGACTATTTAGAATTTCGTCGCTAAAGCATCATTCTGTTGTAGTGACCAGTGGTCACACCCTAAAAAGAATGAAAAAATATGATCTTGCTGCACTTTCAATTTTCTTTCCAGAAGATGTCATCGCTAAAGCATCTTTCTGTTGTTGTGATTACATGATCACAACTGAAAAGACTGCAAAACTGTGTTCTTGCTGCCCTTTTAATTTTCCTCGCGAAAGATTTTGTCACTGAAGCATCATATTGCTGTTATGATCACTGATCACTCCCTGCAAGGACTGAGAAATGATGTTCTTGCTGCCCTAATAATTTTCCTCGCAGAAGATTTTGTTGTCAAAGCATCATTTTGTTGCAGTGATGACAACCTCAAAGAATAGAAAAACTATGTTCTTGCTGCTTTTTGTGACAGTAAAATTTTCTCTCTGATTTTGGTTGCTTTATTTGTCCTCAGTTTCTTTATTCTTTTGGTTGATTTTTTTTATATTTTTGTTATATTTGTAGTTTATGCAATTTTTGGTGCTGTTAAATCTAACTTTTGGTTCGTATAATGTTCCTAGGGGCGACCTCTTTTCTGTTCACCCAATACAGATACCTCAGCATTTTCGTCGGTGTTTTTAGCACCATAATCTTCCTCTTCCTTGGCTCAGTGAAGGGTTTTAGCACTAAAAGCGAAGCCTGCACATATAACACAGGCAATATGTGCAAACCGGCATTAGCCAACGCCTTCTTTAGTACTATTGCCTTCTTGCTTGGTGCTTTTACATCCGTCCTCTCTGGATTTCTCGGGATGAAGATCGCAACGTATGCCAATGCTAGAACAACTCTAGAAGCAAGGAGGGGTGTTGGGAAGGCTTTCATTACTGCCTTTCGCTCAGGTGCTGTGATGGGGTTCCTTCTTGCTGCCAATGGCCTATTGGTGCTGTATATCACTATCAATTTGTTTAAGTTGTATTATGGGGATGACTGGGAAGGACTATATGAGTCAATTACTGGTTATGGACTTGGAGGTTCTTCAATGGCACTCTTTGGGAGAGTTGGGGGAGGTATATACACGAAAGCTGCTGATGTTGGTGCTGATCTTGTCGGGAAAGTTGAACGAAATATCCCTGAAGATGATCCACGAAACCCCGCCGTAATTACCAACTCCTTTATTACTATGTTTGTTTGCTAATTTCTACATTTTCGCAATGCAGAGCATCACTTTTGACATACTGAGTGTTATACTTTCTTTGTCAAACATTGTTAGAAGCGCTTTTAGTTATATGAGCGCTTT